CTTAGGAAAATGTAAGAGAAATACCTCTTGAGAGCTACTTTGTGGATTAAATACACCGTTATTTTCCGTCATTCAAACAAAATTATCGCGAACATAATTAAGTTACATTCCATAATGAAGATAAAAATCTTTTGAAAATATTAATGTTTCAGGAGAATACAAATTTATCCTTATTTGCTCAGTTTCACCAACGGAACCACTGATTGAACACGTCCCATTGAACTCTGCGTGCAGGCACGGCAAATCGGATAGTGAAAAAAAGTGGCTTAAATTATTTCGGATAAAGTTGCTCGACATTGTTTTTCAAAATTCAAATCAGTAATCTGGGAGAAGTAAATATGTAATTTTGATTGTTTGTTCACGATAAAATCTGCTAATGGCTAAAAACAAGAATCGTCCAATATGAAACCATATGAAATCAGAGAAAGAATTCCTTCAAGAGTTTCAATTGTTTTCACCATAGGTTTTTTGTTTAACGTGATGCCGTATATAAAATGACTGCAGATTCTAATGATTCTTTGCCCACAAGCGGCTGTAAATTAAATGCTTGACTTGGTGGATAGAAGTTAAGCTCTTTGTGCTAAATTGATCGGCGTCTAAGAATCAACCATATCACATTTATTTTAGTTCTCAAAATTACCAGGAGAACACTCTGGAAAACGATGTTTAAGAATGTGTTATATGATTTAATCCAACATAATTTTGCAGACATCGCACAATTCTTGATAGTCATTATAAAAGTTTTCTCGCAGTATGCCACTTCCTCTAATGATATTCCATGGCACACAATATAATTTGAGGTACAAATATAATTAGCATCTGAAGTGTTTTCCCCTAGAAACTGTCAAGTACAACATGTTATATCAAGCCTTTCTAAGTGGTAAATGACGAAATTTAACTAACTTGTCGTTCTCATCTTATTCCCTGATTATAATCAGCCTACTTCCATGAAAACTATTTGACTGCCTTCGACTGACCACAGTTGCTTCTCCGGTCTAGTGATTGCAGAATTAGTATATATTGACGTAATAGTGGTCAGTGATTTTATTTTCAAAATACACTAGTTGTGAAACGAGGATCACAAGGAGAGAAAGAGACGTGGTTTCAGGTTTACTGTAGATGAAAAGTATGCTTGCCAATCGTTCTGTCACTAAATACTTTCTTCAAAAGGTTGGTATTTAGGTACATTTTGCTGTTTCCCTGGTTGATATCCATTGAAACTTATGAGTACGCGATGTGTCCCCAACGAATCTATCGGCAAACACACCAGATGATATTGTGTTCACAAATAACGTGTTCCACATTGCACTCCAAAGCCCCCAGATGCAACGCTTGCATCTTGCAAAGTTTCTATTCGTGCCGTTTTGGACAATTGAGTTAGACGAACAAAAGGTTCGGTAAACAGAAACACTATAAAGATAGCTCCCGTGAGCATTTTAGAATCCAGAGGGCTCAAACGGAGAATTCGATGTTCGGTTGCTTGTTGTACAAATGAGTCTCAGAATAATCTACCCAAGCTACAATGGCAACCTGTGTTGTTTAGAAATTTGTAAAACAGCAAATTTTGTACTTCAGGGTATAATCACACTGGTTTTGTTACAGACACCTTATACTAAGGAGGTGTAAGTTTTTTGTGACCTGAGTTAGTGAATCGATCCACAAAACTTGGCTTGGTTGCAGAAGGGGTGAAGTGGCTTGTGAAGGGTTATTGTTACACTTTTTGTTAGTATACTTACAAAGAATTGCTCCAGTAAAAATTTAATGACTGATAGTCAGCTCTCTAATGAATTCTGTAACCACAACCAAATGAATTACCAACAGAGTGGGAAAGTGAAAACCATGTGAGACTAGACTCTGTAGGTTCAGCAGCTTTCCAAACTTACTGTCAGATCGAGAGAGACTGGTTGGTAAACACAGAAGAACATTGAACAAGAAAGGATTTATACCATTCGGTAAAGAACAGATAATGAATGTTTAAGTACAAAATTTATTGCATTTTGAATGCAAAACCACAACAACACCTTTTGGGTGTCATTGACAAAATCTGTGAAGGTAGGATTCTTCACCTTCTCGATGAATACCCGAGAGATTTAGGCTTTGATGAGCTTACCTAACTGGATTGAGATTGTCTAAATACTTTTGATAACTACTGAGTGGCCATGTTTAATGTCTCAAACATGTTTGGCGCACTTTCCTAATCATTTTCTCAACTTTAATAAAATCGATTGAGGGTACCCCTATAAAGCACCTCCTGATTTTGTTTATAAGGCTAAAGTCTTAAGTCGTTGGAACATTTCATTTTTAAAGCCTTAGCACTTAATAAGTAGTATCCGAAACAAAAAGCAAACATCCTACTCGACTTGCAGTTGCACATATATTGCAGTTAAATAGGACGTTTTATCGGGTGTTTTCGTTGTTTAAAGTCCAATTAGGTCAAACGTTCTGTGTCTTCTCAACCCAATCCCTTGATTTTGAAATGCCTCACACTTTTTGTAGGAAAGTGTTTGTTGTCAGAGAGGAAGAGAACGTTAATATGAAAGAAATTGATGGATGACTAATCAAACTGACGGAGATGATGCCTACTGCAGTAGGTGTGCTGTGTTAAGATATCACTACCCATAGTATCCTAGTTGGGTTAATGGCTTTTTATTCTTCCAACACATAGGCTTCTCGAGTAACATTTTCAGCAATTCTCGTGTAGCTTGCGTTCCGATGAACTTGTGGAATACGTGAAAATTTAAAATCGCAAAATAGGAATTAGTATATGAATGAAACAAAAATCTAAGCCATTGGCTTTCCAAAATCATACGGAAACAGGTTTGATGACGAAGTTACCCGTAATACATCTAGAAGACAAGTTCCAAATAGCATCCGAACAACAAAAATCCTTTTAACAAACTCACTTTGAGGATAAGTCAATTTAAGTTAAATGAATAAATTAAATACTGTTTTAAAGCGTGTCTTCTGAGGTAAATAACACGCTGAATTTGTGCACTGAATCAAAGTAAATGTTGGACTGTGTGATAAGACTCAAAACACTTTACCAAGGCTAATCCGACATTTATAAATAACAAAGGCCTCAGTGCGAATTTGTTAATCATCGTTTCTTTTGAATGGAGGGGTTTGTGTTTCTACTAACTCAGCATACAACGAGAAGTCAAACGATAAATCTTCCGTGTAGCGCCGGTTCGGCACAGTAAAACAATGTCCAGAGTGACAACAAGCACAGTTTTTAAATAAATTAATCGACGAATAGAAACTATCAACAGAAATACTGGGCTCTAAGTTAGTTAGACAATCAACACACACCTTTCCGGGGTCTGAGAAAGGCAGAATCTCCATTTGAATGTTGCAAATCCTCGACAAAAGTAAAAGGATTTGTTTGTATTCCACGACGTTCACTAGGTTTCAGTCAAAAGAACTGAATCCTTTGGATTTTGTTGATAGCCATAAACTGAGAATAAATAATTTCTCCTTCGTATTATTCGTGAAAATACGTAATGACAATTATGTCGACTTTACAGCCTCTTTTTTCAACCTTCTGTCCGAACTGGGGTAGATCAAATGCAAACGCACTCAGGCGCTTAGTCAAATAAATTGTTTCACGGACTGATAAACATGTATTGTTTCATAGCACTCATCAAGAAAATCAATAATAAAATATAGCCTTATATATAATGGAATTTTTATGAAACGGTGACTGTTTGATCGTTCTGCTCTTTTCTATTTGAGGTTCTTCAAAAAGAACGCATCGGTTTGGCAGTCACATACCAATAACTAACGCTTTCTCACAAAGAATCATATTTACAAATGAATTTGATAGCTGAACCGTGTGGTGTGAATTCTGTGTGTATCTTTGTGTGAGACAAAAAATGGGAAACATGACATGGCAGTAGCAAATTAGGGAGCAAAAACAGATGAGAAATCGTTTTCCGTCTAGTCACGGAAAATATTGTACATGATGCAAATGAGGAAACATTGAGAGAAGTCGCGGTTTGATGTTTATTTGTTCTAGTCAACAAGGGTTACCGGCAGAACGAATAAGTTAACTTGCCTCGACAGTAGAATTCTCCAACTTGTCATTAGGACCTTCATTTTTAGGTACTCTAGAATCATATGAAACCACGGGTGCTTTGGAATTGCGCTCTTTCTGGGAACGAACCCCATGTTTCTTTCGGCAAAATTGCTTGGATAGGAAGCTACGGAAATGCCTGTTCATGCAGGAATAGATTATTGGATTTGCCGCCGAATTGGCAAAATACAAGTAGAATAATACTTGTCCTATGCTGGACCAGAGACTGGTTTCCGCGTTTGGCATAAGACTTCTTTTACTCACTGGCATTGCCGTGTACACCAAGTACGGAGTGTAAGAGATAATGAAAGCAGCAGCAATCATCGCGAAATTTTTTGCCGTGTATACATGCGGTTTACGACGACGTTCCATGCTTTTTGCAGCTTTTACGGTTCGTTGCTGACACTCCACTGTCATTGGTAAAAGCTGTCGTTGACTTTGAGTCTGCTCCGTTACTGGTTCAGCTACCATTGGGTTATAAACCGATAACGAGTCATTCTGGTTACCTCTCAATTGCGTACCCGCCTTAGTAAAGCAAGAACATAGATGTTTTCTCTTCAAAGTTGCCTGCAGATGCCCGGAACGTGGAATAGCACTTGAATGTTGATGCGGTACGGATGTTGCATTATCTTCTTCTTCAGGGATATTTGTGACATCCTTCTGTACCACTTCTTTGGAATGGACATCAAAGTGATGCTCAGAACTCGATGTTTGCGTTGGATCATCTCGAGTGCTGCAATGGCATGCGCAACCAAAACTTCCAGAAGCTTCAAACGCGTTGGCGCCAAAATCACCCCCACACCCGTCGATTCTGGCACCGCTCAACGTGGAAGGCTGTCTAGCATCCAATATTTTATCTCCCGGACCGGTTTCAACATTACCCATAGTTTGACGATCACGACTTGTTTCACTGCATTTGCATTTCCCATTCTTTTTCTGAGGTCTTCGGATGGACTCATGAATACGTATAAAATATCCACGATACTTCGATTTCCCGTATCGTTCGAACATAAGCGACTCATGTCTCCAGACGAATAGGAACACAACAGCGTACAACAATGCGGTTGCCAAAAATAGTGCAGAAAATAGACTGATGACAACAATCTGATAATACCAATAGGCGGTGTCACTGATAAACGTATCATCTTTATTACAACGAACTGGAACGTGAACATCTTCGGGCAAGTGCAGTGCACCAGGAACAGTCTTTTCGTCCTCAAACGGAACAGGTTGAAATAGCACATCATGCGATTTGACCACTTTTACCGCATGAACATGTAAACTCATGGGTACGGCCAAAATCACTCCAATCAGAAGGATAATGGTGAACGCGGCGATCAGGTGTGCTCGTTTCAGTCCTATGCTGGGTATGAAACAAATGAGCAGGAACCGCTCCAGGGCGATCAGGACTAAGAGGCTTGCGGATACGGGCACAATAAAACCTTTGAATGCCAGATGTGCACGGCAGAGAAATTCCGTGGCTTCTCCGTGCCAGACATCCAAATACAATGTGGCCGGAATACCGATCGAGCAGATGATCATATCCAAACAGGCTAACAACAATATCAGCAGACTGGAAACAACACATTGGGACACCTGACACCGGAAGGCCCACAATACCAACCCATTTCCGATAATTCCCATCAGAGCAATTACCACGAGTAAAATGGTGGTTGCAACCACTGTAGGTGAAATTGTGTCTGATGGATCTGATGCGAGAATGTGAAGTTGGTCTTTGGATAAATTCATATTGTCGGGGTTTGATTGATCAAAGCATCACTCGTCAGCTTGCCTAAACGGTACTCAATCAATGAATAAGTGTTCCGTTTTGTTTGTAAAAATAAACGTAAGAAAGGGGAAATTCCGTGTGCAAATGGCCAGACTTCCGTGCTAGTGGCAATGTGAAAACAGATGTCTTGTTTGTGTGCATCGGTTGTGTGATTGGTCCAATCGGTTACCGACAAACGGCTGCCAACTGATTGGTTCAATTAAATCAACCGAATTCGTTTTGGGTGTGCTGTGTTTTCTACAGAGGAATGCGGTTGCGCCGTACGTTGATATCATCTATTTATATGATTTTCTGAATTTCATGGGAAGATAAGTAATGAAAAAAACAAAAAATTGATTGCAAAATAATTGATAACGGCGCTTTCGAGACATTTCCATTTAATACAAACCATTTATTCCTTTTTACGTGTACTTACTTCCAGATGGACTGTTTGCTGGCATTTTATCGTATCACTGCTGAATTATACCAAGCAGAATAGACCAAATGTTGCAAATCATGAAACCCGATGAAGCATGGTAAACATCGTTCAGAGAATTATTGTAGCTAATGAATTACATGTCCCTGTCTCATGGAAAAGCGGAAATGCAAATCAGTATATAAACGTGCACGTAACCATACTGGTAACATTTAAAAATATGTAAATAATGATTTACTGGATGGTAATTCATTAGTCTCTGATTTTTCATTAAAAAAACATATGGTGAAGCGAGCGAGTACCGTTGCATGCTATTCTGTAATATCGACGTTTTTGAATGTACGTGTTCAGATAGGTTGAAGCATTGATGTACTTATTCGCCAGATATTAGAGGCCATAAATGCATTGCAGTTCTACATTTCCTGGCCTTCACTCCACCTCAGGAGCACTGGAAATAAACTCAAGTACAATCTGGCCTGGTTTCAACCAGACAACTGGAATTAATCGGTAATGCGGGTAACGGAATACAAGGGATGTTCTACAGGCTGACCGATTCGACGTGCATGCTCTTTTGTCGTACATCGAAGTCTGTTAAAAATTGGTCTGTTTCTCCTTTTTGTAGCATAACAGCTATCAATAAACTTCACATATTGTTCCATTACTTTCAACAATAAAATACGGTTCAGTCTATTTCAGAATTACAAGTTGATGCAATGTAGATGGCTTACGTGTCAAGCTCTTCATCTAATTAAAATTAAAATGTTTATTATGGGAAAAAACTTACAAAGACTTCGTTTATCAAGTCCCATAGGGTGCTTACACTTTGGTTCGGAACACGATTCACAAGATCACAGTTAGTTCATGAAAGTGAAATAGTAAAGTAAGCTTTTTGTGGTTTTAGTCGGGTGTTGAAATATAATGTTTGCCAGAGCATCATCAATCCGATGCTTGAAAGTGACTAATGTTGATGCATAGACCACGTGAGGTGGTAGAGAGTCCCGTTTACTACACACTCTAACTGCAAACGATTAACGCCTACAGTCAAAACGGATCTTTTGGAGTGCCAACTTCAGTGGATGCCCTATGAGATGAACATTGGTTGATAGAAACAGAAGAGATCTACATTAATGGTTGGGCTGTTGGAAAATCCGACACAGTAAGATCATATTGCCTCTGATTTTACGATATTAAGACGAGTGTGGCCACATTAGCTGTAATCGTTCGCCATAGGTCTTGGAATGTAGACCTTTGACCATCTTGGTAGCCATTCTCTGCAGATGTTCAAGTGCCTTGCGATTCCACTGCAGCCATGGGTTGCAGACCTGAACTGAGTACTCGGTGTACCGACGGATATATGTGGCTAACAGACGTGGAAACGAAGCCGGCTCAGACGATCAAAAAACACGTTTGAGCAGTCCAACCTGTTTAACCACCATAGATGATGCCCTGGAACAGTTTGTGGAGCAACTTAAGTCTGCGCGAGTGACTACTCCCAGATCATTCTCAGGTGAAGCATGAGGCAGAGTTTCGTGTTCGAGAGCTTCAGAAAAACGACCATTGTGACGTGGTCATAAAACTTTACATTCAATAACGTTGAATTCCATATCATTGGAGACAGACCATCTGTGGGCTTCGTCAAGGGCGTTCATTTATAAAGACAAGAGATGTGGGCCTGGTACGGATCCCTGTGGAACCCCACGGTTGACATCTATTGGATCAGAAAGTGAATCGGAAATACTAACTGATATGGTACGAAGGCGAAAAAACTCCTCGATCCAGCCAAGTACGAGTCCACGGATTCCATAGTTATGCAGCTTCCGTATCAGCATTTGATGACTTACTCTACCAAATGCTTTAGATAAGTCCAGGTAAATAACATCTACCCCTTGACCTTGGTCTACAGCATGAGTCCAATCGTCTCAAGTCTAAATAAAGTTAGTTGCACATGAACGATTTTTTCGAAACTCGTGCTGGGTTGGGGATAGTAAGTCACTTTTCTCCAGATGATCCATTACCGAACCTGCAATAATAGATTCCATGACTTTGGACAACACTGGAAGGAGAGTGACAGGTCGGTAGTTGGCTGGGTCACTACGGCATCCACCGCTGTAAATTGGGGAAATGACACCGATTTTCCACACCTGAGGAAGCACGGTATCTTCAAACAGTTTTTGGTATAGCCCGTTTAAAGGATCGGCCATGTGAATCGCCAGGGTGATAAGGGCTAGTGGATGAATGTTATTTAAACCCGGTGATGAGTTCTTCTTCAAAGCCAGGAGATTTGCCTTTATTCCTTCGGCAAAAATGATAATGTCTGTCAGTAATGGGTAAGGAATATGTTCGAGCAAACGGAGAAGTACGAACTCAGTGTTTCTAGGCGCACTGACCACTTGAGAGTATTGTAGTCTAAGCATTTCTGCAG